TGCATGTTTCTTGTAATAGGTCTATAAAACAGTATAAACATTTTTGACAATTGAAACAAGTGCCAATTTGATATAATAAAGACATGTGAAATAAAAAAGAACACGAAACTCACGAAATGCGATGCGCATATTGAAACTATAATTTTTTTTATAATAAAATTTAATTATTTATTGGTTAATATTTATCACATAATGATCATGTATTCCTGATTTCAGTTTTTGAAAAATAAATTTTTATTTTGATCAACAAAAAACAAAAATTGAATTTTGAATTTTGTATTTTTTTTAAAAAAAAATTGAAGACTTGACACACAATGAAAAAAAACAAATAATTTTTTAAACTTGAAAAAAACCAAAATTTTTTTTTAAAAAAAAAAATGAAATTATAATTTTTAAAATTTTCAAAATTGTAATTTTTGAAATTTTTGAATTTTATTATTTTTTATTATTAAAAAGAAAATTTTAAAAAAACAAAAATTTCAAAAAGACTTTTGAATTTTGTATTTTTTTTTTTATTAAATTGGAGACTTGACACATAATGAAAAAAAAAACAAATAATTTAAAATTAGAATTTTTTAAAAAGCAAAAAAAAAATTATAAAAAAAATAAAATTTTAAAAAATGAAAATTTAAAATTTAAAAAAAAACGAAATTTTTCAAATTTGAAAAATCAAAATTTCTTTTTTAAAATTTTCAAAATTGTAATTTTTGAATTTTTGAATTTTATTATTTTTTATTATAAAAATGCAAAAAAAAAAAATTGTATAAAAAATAAAAATTTAAAAAAACAAAAATTTCAAAAATTACAATTTCGTTTTTTTTAAATTTGAAAATTTTAAATTAAAATGAAAATAGAATTTTGAATTTTGTATTTTTTTAAAAAAAACTGTAATTTGATATTTTTTTTGAAAAATAAAATTTTATAAAAAACGAAATTGTAATTTTTTAAAATTTACAAATTTTATAAAAACAAAAAAAATGAAATTGTAATTTTCAAAATTTTGAATTTTATTATTTTTTTAAAAAATAAAATTTTCAAATTTTGTTATTTTTAATAAATTTTTTAAAAAACAAAAAGTTCCAAACTATTAATATATATGTTAATAATGTATAACATTCTTTATGTTAAGAAAATTGAAATTTTATAAAATTCAAATTTATTAATCAAATATTTTACGTTCCTATCACGTAATATTTATTCCTGATAGAAATTTTATTGTCAATACATTTTTTGATAAACCCATGAAATCACCTGATAAAAAACAAGAAAAATTATAATTTAATAATATATATTTTTGTTTTATATTATCATGATTACTCAAATGAAAAATTAATATTATTTGTTATATTCTTTATTGTATTCTAATTATTTATTAGTTTTGATTATTAATAATAACAATATTAGCTTTATTTTATATAAGTATGAAATAAAGTTATAATAACAGATAATTGATTGCCATTCTTTGTTATTTACAGTCAGTATGCATGTCCAAAAATTAGCCTGTGAAATAATGTTAATTATAAGATCGACAAGTTGCATCTCATAAGTAAAATTTCTAATTTATATAGAAAATGAAAAAATTATAAAAAATTTTCAATTGATTGTACTAAAATATTACATCTTATATGTGATTAAAAAGTGGTCAGATGTGTAGATTAACATTTTTACTCTTCGTTTATATTTATTTAAGTCAATAAAAAAATTTTTTTAACAAGAATCTTAAAGTTAAAATTGGTAAAAAATTTCGTTTACGCAAATGGAAACTTGTGAAAATAATTCACATTTTTACTTTGATACCTAAAACATAAATTTAAGTGACCATGACAATGAATCTAATACAAGCAGTAAGTTATTTAATGAAGAAATATATGAATTTTCAAATTCAGAATTATTTGAATATAGTGAAGAAAATTATATTAAAGCACTAACTACTCTTGAAAAGGAAGTTACAGAACAATATAGTAATGAAAATGAAGAAGATTTCGAAACAGCTTTTGAAATTCAAGAAATATCCTGATAAATTCCTTCAAATCAATTACCAGTTGAAGAAAATGAACCTGTTATCAAACTTGACTCAACTTTAAAAACCAATTTTCACCTTGTATTTTAATTGATTATATCGATAATAAATTACAAGTATGTGGACAAGCTGCAAATAATAGAAATATATGTCAATTAGCTGGAACATGGCAAGTGAATAAAAATACAATACTAGAATTTCAATCAAAAGGAATTTCTTTGGGTGTATGTACAAATCATTTTAATTATGATCAAAAAAATCACAAGGCATTTACTAAACAATTAAGAACACCCGAACAAAGCAAAATTCACAATAGACGTTGTTTATTATGTTTTAAAAATTTTTATTTTTTTAGTTGTGGAGTTGGGTGTAAAACTCATTTATGGTAAATATGGGAAAAAAATATTCAAATTCCATGTATTGGGCTTTATACTTATAATGCTGTACATGAATGTCAAAGAATTTCCCAACAAATTTTTGATAATGTTAAAATATGCCAATATATTTGTTATAATTGTTACAAACTTTATGGTGGACATTTAAATTATAGATCTGGTCCGGGTAAACGAAAAATTACTTGTATGCAATGTGAATTACATAAAAATGATATCACAAAAAGTTTAGAATTATTGGTACAATGAATTATATATATAGCAAATAATGAAACGGAAGAAAAAAACAATTAGTTCTTGCTTCTTTTTTAGTTCCTATTTTATATTTTATATTTTCGTTTGAAATTTTATTAAAATTTAAAAATTATAATTTTAAAGATAATAGATATGACGAATCCAATAATAATAAAAAACTAGAACTCTTCCTATCGATCACTTGTACCAAATATTTCCACAGTAGAGAAATACGATTTTTCACTGTAGTTACATATAAAACTTAGTTATT